AGACAAGTAAACCAAACTATTCCTATTCCAATCCAATGTTCCATCAATCTTCACTATGGCAATAGAGTTTATCTTAATGTCATGTGGAAAATCAAATTGAAAAGCTTTTTCGTTGGACTTTAGATTTAAGAATAAGTGAACCATTTATTAGCTACTAAATTATGAAATCTGATTTCGCTGATTATTCAGTTAAAAATTTTTATTCTAAAAGAAACAACAACCCTCTTCTTCCTAGTTCAATAAGAGCTTGTATAATAGGAAAGTCTGGTTGTGGAAAGACTAATCTTTTAATGAATTTACTCTTGGATGAATATTGTGGAAACGATTATTTAGATTATGATAACTTGTACATATTCTCTACGACTCTTTTTCAACCTTGTTATCAAGCACTTGTGAATGGTTTTGAAAATGGCTTAAGCAAAAAGGAAATCAGAGAATGTTTTAAGAATCAGAATTTTATGATAGACAAAAAGGATAAGAAAGATATATCAGTTCACACTTCTGATAGTTTAGATGAAATACCTGATCCTAGTTCTATCGACCCAAATAAGAAAACTTTGATGATATTCGATGATCTAATGCTTGAAAAACAAAATAAAATAGAACAGTATTACACCAGGGGTAGGCACAATAATATAGATTGTTTTTACATTTCACAAAGTTATATAAAACTACCGAAAAACACTATCAGGGAAAACGCTAACTTTTTCATAGTTTTTTCTCAGGATAAGCTTAATTTAGACTATATCTATAGAGATCACTGTGGGGAAGTAGATAAAGCTATCTTTTTGGATATGATATCAGAAACTTGGAAGGAAAAGTATACGTTTTTCACTATAGATAAAACTAGCGATTCGGATGATGGCAAATTCAGGAAGATGTTGAAATCCTTCTTTGTCCTATGAACGCTTACGGGAGGTGTTTCTTATTTTAGACATGTTTTTATTTTGGTATATTTCAAAATCCGTTTTCCGTATTCCGTATTCCGTTTAGCTCGGCTAAACGGAAATAAATTTAGCTAAACGGAAAACGGAAAACGGAATACGGAATACGGAAAACGGATTTACATATATACGTAATAAAAAAACACTCGTTTCGGAGTGTCCTAAAGCAGAATATGGACATACGCAAGAAAGAAGCCAGATCAAGAAGCAAATAAATGACTGTTTTCACTTACAGACCCCACAGACTGCATATGTATGTACACATGCATGTGTGTAACGATAAATGTAGAAATAGACACTTGCATGCTTATAAAAAGTTGAAAAAGGATTGGTTGAGAAAAACTCCGGACGTTTATTACTTTATATCATCTGATCGATATTTAACAGATGTTTCGATAGTGATGGACACTATTAAAAAGCATTCATTTTTTTGTGATGGTAAAATCTACGAAGACATAGATAAAAACTTCAAAACTAAATTTTATGCTGGGATCGAACCTATTTACGTTTATTGTAATGATAAGCCTTTCTGCAAACTTTATCCGAATAGTGTTATTGACATAAAAATGATTAGAAAAACTAATAGAAACGAAAAAATCCGAAAAATCGATGCACTCCTTAACAGTGAATCAGGAAGACAACAATACTCGTTTGATAATAGTAGTATAGTAATGGAGGATTATAGTACCGTTTCCGTTTTTCACCATTTTTTGAAATCTCCATTTTCACCCATATTTCCACACTTTCTCTTCTGTTTCCTTAAATTAACAAGACAATTAGCTGAAAAACACCCATTTTAGGCGAGCACGAAAATCGTACTCCGAGTACGAAAATAATACCACTTTTTTTCAACCTCTCAAAACAGTCAATTTTCACCCCAACTGATAACAAATTCTTTACACTTAAACACTTTTTCAACTCTCTTATCAAATTTGGTCTGATATCAGAATGGTAGAGTGACTGTCTGATAATCACAACGCCCGAGTTCAACCCCCACACGATATCTGCGATTCACGATATCTGCGATTCACGATATCTGTGATTATCCAGTTAATGAAGGCGAAAATATGCAAATGAAGGTGAAATATGCAAGAAAAAGTCGACCGTCGGAGCGAAAAAATTTCCTCATTAAAAATATGCAAAAAAAATCGGTCGTCTTCACCAAAGAAAAAAATCAAGCGAGCAAACGACTGTTGTCTTATCAATTCTTTACCATTATTTCGGTTTATTTAAATGCTGCGGGAAGATTTAAAACCGTTAACGAATTTAAATTTATTGAAATTGGCAATGCCAGAAAAAAACAATTAGTCCGATTTGCCCCTTTTTTCAGCACCATGACGTTTTTTTTCCCCGGTTCCGCCGCATCTTGCGCCACTCCTCATCTTCTTTGGCTTCGATTCTCCGTCTTTCTCTGAGGCTTTCGCTAGCAGTAATATGTGCTTGTTTCTTCTTGATGTTTGCATCGTAGTTGTCTCTCCTTTTATTCATACGGATTACCTCAGTAACTCTATCTCTTCGAGCGGTGTTGACTTTTTCAATTAAAGCTTCAATCTTCAAATCCCATTTCTTTATTTGCTCATCTTCAGCTTTTCTTCGAAGATACTCCGCTTCTTCTTGAGTAGTCATTTCATCTTCTTTTTGATGACCATGCCGAGGGATCGTATTCATCAGCTTTATCATCCCAGAGCCAACCGTCTGTGAGGTAACGTTAGGATCAACCTCCATTTGATCGTCTTGGTTTACATCCATGATTCTGAAATAGATAAATTGTAGTATAGTAATGAAACAGGGAAAAAGCGAACATAGCAGTCAAACTTCTTATCACAGTTTTATGCACCTTTTAAATGGACATGTACTGTTTAAAATGTCAAAATCACACAACCGCTAACAGTGTCACAAAGCTGTCAATCAAAAATACTAGGCATGTGTACAAAGGAAAGTGCAATGTATGTGGCAAGAGCACATGTAAAATAGGTTCAACATTGAAAACTGGTGGCGACATCAAACCTATAAAATCAAGCACAACGTCAAAAAAATCAAACATCATTCTCGAACAAACTTTCTATAATCCTGAAACTGGGTTCTGTGGAATTAATGAACTTCAAAGAAAAACCAAAAGACCAATCAAAGAAGTAAAACAATTTCTCAATGAACAAGATCTCTACACTCTTCACAAACCCGCAAGAAAGAACTATCAAACCGAAAGAGTTTATATTCACAACATTGATGAACAGTGGCAATCTGATCTTGTTGAAATGATTCCATATGCGGCTGAAAATGATGATTTTAGATATCTCCTGACAGTTATAGATTGTTTCAGCAAGTATGCGTGGGTTGTTCCTCTGAAATCTAAAACTGGAAAAGAAACTGCAGCCGCTTTGGAGACTATTTTCAAAGAGAGAAAACCTCAAAAAATGCAGACTGATAATGGAAAAGAATATTACAACAAAGAAATGAAGGTTCTTTTTAAAAGTTTAGATATCCATCACTTTTCAACCTACTCTGACAAGAAAGCTTCTATCATAGAAAGGTTCAATAGAACTCTCAAAGAAAAGATGTGGAAAATTTTCACTCATCAAGGTAATCACAAATGGATAGATATTTTAGATAAATTAGTTCAAGGATATAATAATCATTATCATCGCAGTATAAAAATGACACCCATCGAAGCATCCAAGAAATACAATGAAGATCAAGTTTACGAAAACCTATTTCCCTCCACCAGAAAAGAAATGTTTGAAAAACATATGGAAAGTAAGCTCAAAATAGACGACACAGTAAGAATCACAAAATATAAAGCCATTTTTGATAAAGGTTATCTACCTAATTGGAGCACAGAAATATTCAAAATCACAGAAGTTCATCCAGGAGAAGTCACAACATACTCCATCAAAGATTTAGCAGATGAAGAGGTCAAAGGAAAGTTTTATGAAGAAGAGCTCACACTATTCAACAATGTCAAAGAAGAATACAAAATAGAAAAGATACTAAAACGTAGAACTAGAAAAGGAGTCAAAGAAATATTTGTAAAATGGTATGGATATCCAGAAAAGTTCAACTCGTGGATCCAAGATAACTAAACACTAACAACTTTAACTCTATTATCTTTAATTTCAACAATATTTTCACTCATAATCAAACAATAACATTTTGTGTTTTGTACAATACTCTTTGAAAAGGAAGCTTTGATTGTGACATCAGGTCTTGATTGAATAATTCTATCATTCTGTTTGGATACATCAAATACTAACAGAGGGTAGTAGTAATAATATACATCTTCCTCCATAAAAATATAATCCTTTGTCGATTCATAGTAACTGTTTCTAAACTCCTTTGCGAAATTGTATTGTTGAACAGCATTGAACTTATCGAAATCAAACTTTAAACAATCATGAGGATATCTCTCTGAATTTAATTCAACATAAATTTCTTCTAATCCACAGTTGTCAAATTTACCAGCATTTAGGTAGTTGTTATCTCTATTGCTCTGCAAAGCAACCACAATATACTTTATTTTATCGTATTTTGTTCCCAATTTCCATGTGAATTCCCTATTTCCATTAGGTATATTATAACTTTCCAACTGTCTAGAAATAAAAGGCATCTGTACAAGCTTGCTACTCTCAAAAATATTCAACAGTTTATTTTGCATTTCAAGACTAGGAACAATTTTTGGAATAATCCATTGTAATTTTTTAATATTTATCTTAGCTGTATGTTTTTTAGCATCATTAGATGTAATACTATTTTTGTTCTCAGGAGATCTGTAGAGAGTGAGTTGATGCTTTCTACCATAAACTATTTTATTATAACATTCAGCAAATCCAAACATATGTGTCAAAGGAATGCAAAAAGTAATACTTCCTTTTCTATTTTTTGTATACTTGTTAATCTTGTATGTAATAATATCTTTAGTTTCTAGAATCCAACCAAAAGTGTTTTGTTTATTCATGGTGCTGCTATATGTTAAAAGTCCTTTCATCAAACTAGCTCTACCAGGATCCATTATACTTTCAACTTGCATACCATCCATGCTATATGTTGATCTATCAAACAAAAACATTGGTGCATTATTAGTCAACGAGACCTCATCTGTTTCAGCCAACACAGTGTCATTTG